CTGCTGACTTGAATCACCACTTTACACTTCACTCCACTATCCACCCTATGTGTAAACACCTTCAACACCCTCACCCTCCCCACCAACTTCATCCTCGTTTCCACCTCCATTGTGGGTCCCCTTCCAACCCCACCTCCGCCGTTCGCCGCCGCCGTAGAAACCACCCCGCCGCCTGAGACATCAGCTCTCAAAGTTGCCGGAAGCGGGTAAGACTGAACATCAAACTTCGCCGACATATGCTGCGTCCGACCACCGTCGATCTTACCGGCTGGAATAAACACAACACCCACCGGCTCGCCTGAGTAACTGAGCTGAAGCGAGCTGTCGTAGTGAGTGAACTCATCGCGATTTGGGTTCGTAACGGAGACGTACTGGAAGAAAGTGAAGTTAACGCTGCCGTTAGTAACGGAGAAGGTGGGGAATTGAACGGCGTCGACGGCGATTTTGGGAGTTTTGGGTTTGAAAAGGAAGAAGTAGACGACAATAATGCCTACAATGAGTAAGATCAAGAAGAAAGTGGCAACACAACATGATGCCAAATTAGTGCGGCCTCTACTACTGGGTTTAGATCTGTAAGGATCAAACATGGCTAAAGATTATTGCTTTTGAACAGCCCCAGTTGGGAAAATTTAGTGGCAAGAATGTGGAATAGGAAAGGGGGAGAGATATGTCAATAAAGTGTTGGGTAGCATATCATTAGCACTAAAGAAAAAGGAAAAAAACAAGAGATACAAAGGTAAAGAGAGAAATTAGGAATTTATCACTGACTGATTTTAAAAAAATCACTGACTGCTTGGTTCATTGGTCTGGATCTACTACAGTGATTTGTCTTCTTCTGTCAATATTAAGGAAAGTGCTAGTTTTAACCCCTTTTCCTTTTCTTTCTCGCGAAGGAACAAATGTTGAAAAAACATTGTAAGCAGCAAAAATTCATACAAGGGAAAAAGGCCTATATTTGCTCCTAAAACTATAATTTTTTGTTTAACTTTGTCTTTTGTTAGAAGTTTAACAAAAATAGTTTGGTTACTATTTGTATCATATTTGTCCTTTTTTTCCAACTGAGTAGACAAAATCCTCGTAAGCATTTCATTTTGGTTTAGTAGGCAACATAGATGACACGTATATGAGTTAATAAGCACATGTTTGATCTAATAGTTACATTAAATCTGATAGTTAGTCTTTCTTAGTTTAATTACAGATTTGTTGTCAGTTTAAGAACGAGTGGAATTTAAAAACCTTTAATTTTAGAGAACTCTTAATTTTACGTAAAAGACACATATTTACTATCAGTTGATTGATATTAAGATACTTATATAGTTGCTTTCTCAATTGTTTTCGTAGGGGATTGGAGGTTTAAAAATTACTTAAAGAGTTTTGAGTGAGAAATAAGGTTTGCATAATTACGTTTGAAGTGAACTCGGCATCAAGTTAAGGTCTGATAAAAATGAAATGAATGTCCCACTTCATACCAAACCCATCCTTCCAAAAGGTGGAAAGGTGCGGCAATGTAGCAAAGGAGTTAGCCTCTAGTATTGTATTGGATCTACTAGCAAACATTCACCTTGAATACTCCAAAGAGCTCTGAAAAAATTAGTGTACAGCTTTGTACAATAAAACAGATCTGTGAGATCTTAGCTTTGTTCATTACTTGAGTTATTATGTACCACCCAAAAGGGCTAAAACTAGCACACAACTCATCCGAGTCTCGGTTTCTTATTCCTCTACCTAGGTTGAAGCTTAACCAACAATGTCAACAGCCTTGGCTCCTGCAAATATATTTAATAAGTATACAAGAACGTAAACTATTATTTGAGGAAAAGGATACTGTGTCTTCAACTTAATCCAGCATAAAAAAAGATTGAACAAACTTTACAGTATTTTGAGAATTGACACCGAGATAAAGAACTTGGTCATAACCTAGCTAGGTCATTTCCAGTTAACTGCGAAAACGAATTGAAAGCAATGAAATCAGGATATTCTCTTGAAGTTGATGCATGCAGACAATAGGTGTCCGCAGACTCTCCTATGTACACCTATATACCAATTCTTCAGTGAAATATCAATAGGAAATCTCATCAAGGCGTTGATCCATTATATGTGAGATGGTCTCAAGGAATGCATCTTCACTTGAGCCAGGAAGCACAGAGTCCAGTGCTTCTTGAACAATCTCCTCAATCACAGATTCCTTGTTCAAGGTCTCGCGGCACATGATGTTCCCTATGGTAAATGGCGTGAGGCCCCTCTCTGCACCTTTCTTCAAAAGCATAGTAGAGATGCGGAGTGTGCGGGCACTTTCCAAAGGCATGTCCCACCCGTAAAACTTCAACAAGGCAATGTCTTCCTCCGCATCAAGTGATTTTATGTACTCAATGGTTTCGGAGCTAAAAGGCTGACGAGCTTGTGGCCAATACAGCCAGTCAAAAGTGACATCTTCAAACTGAAATAGCATATAGATAAACCAACTGATCAGAACCAAACGACACAAATTTTCCCGAAGTCTAATTGATTTCCATCAATTGTCAATTCTGAATTAAAGAGAGAGCTAGAGAGAATATAACAAGCAGCCTAACAAGCATTCACAACTCTCAAATTTCACAGAAGTTTTTGCTACTCGTATCAAGGCAGAAAGCAATGACATTTTCTATTAATTGTACTCCAGAACTTCTTCTAGAAGAGCACACTACTTGGACTTCAAACGCGTTTTATGCCTCATATAGTGCAGATAATAGCAGGCCTCTCAAAGGGGCAGGTAAAAAAAGATTGTCAGTTTGGTAAAGACCACAGCTTCTCAAAGGTGTTATTTTCTTGGCTTCTCATAGGTGTTATTTTCTTATTATTAGTTTTGGGATTCTTCTTTTTTCTAGAGGGGCGAAGCTCAGACATATGTGTTGGAAACGGAGTATATTCCCGGACCTTAAAAGATAAGGTCTCATAATGAGCTGGGAAAATGTTATCATCATTGCAATCGCTCCCTATTATCCTATTTTTCTCATAGGTGTTCTGGCCAATAAAATCATACTGCAATTTGACATGAAAATGATATGCTTTAAATCCTTGGATTTGTGTTTGTCATTTCAAAGGCTGCGTAGAAATAGGGGGAAACTATTCCACTGGAGATACATTGATATTGAAGTCAGTCTATACCCTCAACCAAAATTTGACCATAATGAATGAAACTAAGACAAGATGCCTCCATATTCGCACCCAAAATCATATAGTCAGCTGCTGGAGGGACATGTTAGAGCAGAAAACAAAATTGCAAAAGATAATTAACATCACATTGTAACTACTTTAATAACAAATATAAGTAAGATGTAACAGGAAATGCAGCAAAGAAGAATGGCATCCACCAATTGTTCACATCAGACACCAAAAGCAAAGGAAAATAAAGATGAAGACTTACACCGTCAGGCAAGCAGTAACCATGATCAATTGGAATGAGGACAACCTGCCCATCTTCACCTTTGCTCATTAAAATATTCCCTGCATGCCTATCTGCATTTGCCATCCTCATATCAAGCACTGCAATCTTATGCACTTCCCCCACAGGAAAAGCACTGGGACCCATATCCTCACAACTTCCATTGTTCTCCATGAACTTTTGCAAGGAGCCAATCTTAGGGGTGATACCATCTGGGTGATTGAATCCGCTGTGGAGACACCTCACAAAGAGAGTTGGTGGAACACCAGCAAAGCCCAGTGCCTCACCAGAAAATGAACGCCTACCGCTTTTTGGATGATCCAAAAGGTAAGCAGCACATTCCCTCAAAGCACCTTCTCCAACTCTTGTTCCTTTCTTCAAGCCCTCTCCATTAACTGATAAAGGCAGCCCTCGCGGGTTATTCACAGCCATAGGCTCCTCATCAATTGGTTTAAACACCGAAACATACTTACTCCCTGCTGCATCAAGCATAAAGTAGGCTCCTCCTGTGCCTTCGGAGGATCTAATAGGATAATGTCCTCTATCTAACCCTTCAAGTGTAGAGCCAATCAAATCACTAATCACCAAAGGCACTTCAATCTTTGGGTTAACAATGATAGGTTCCAAAATACTTGCCCTATCAGGAGGCTCCCTAGGGACCGAAAGCTTATTCTCTAGTATTTCATTCCCACCATTGCTCTCTGTAACCTTGTCATCATTCAGTTGTGGTGCCACAATAGACAGCTCAAAATTCTTCTCCACCGGTCTTGCTCTAATCTTTGCAGATTTTCTCACAAACAAATGAATCACAGCATCATTGTTCTTGCAGATATCATGTATAAGCCTCTGATCTTCAAGTCTTTCACCATTGCAAAGCACTTCTTGCTCATCGATATCTCCTAAAGCACCCTTCTTTTTCTTAGCAATCTGACGCNAGCAATTTGACGCTTCACATATCCGACATCCCTGCTCCTATCCACATTAAAGGTAAACTCTTCACCAGAAGAAGTTTTCACATTGATGACCTGAAGATCTGATAACCTAAGGACCAAATGGAGAACATTTCCATCACCAACTCCATAATCCCTAATGAGGGAATTGCTTCTGGCCAATTCTCGGCCCCCACACACCAATTTTTGATTTTTCACAACAAACCCTTTACAGGTTTGAATCTGAAGCTTCACAGAGTCAATTGAATCATATTCCAAAACCCTCATTGGTACCATTGACCCTGACATAGCCACGTATATCAAAATTGATTCTTGGCTATGGAAATCTGCAGGAATCATCATAGATTCTTTGCACATAGGACTAATCGCAATCGCCCCAGCTGAAGACATCTTTCCACTAATCCAAATTTTTCAAACCCTAAATTCCCAAAAAAATCAAATCAACCTGAAAAATATAAACCCCTAAAAAACAAAAGATAATTTACCAAGATTTTCACAAACCCATCTTTACATACAATCTGTGTTCCTCTTCACAGATCGAAACTGTACAAATTAAAAAAAAGAACAAAACCAAATTAAAACTTCCCAAAGCCCTAGAGATTCATAATAGGCCCATATATGAATTTACTTGAAATGGGCCATAGAAAAGCGAGCTAGAAGCTTTGGGAAATCGGAAATTAGGGTTTCAGAAATTGGATTTGGGGAAAAAATTAGAAATAAAGTTAAATAGAGAAATTCAAAGGCAGAGAACAACGAGCGGATTCTTATTAACGGAGGAATAAGAACCGAAGAGGAAATGGATGATCGGAAGCTTAGTATATAGATAAGGTGAAAACAGATCAACGATGAACTTTTTGAATGGTTCCGGCGAATTTTCCGGCGATTGAACGGTGACAAATTGGGAGCGTGTTTGGTGGAGAAATTTGGTACCGTTGAAGAAGAAGAGTGAAGAAGATATGCGTTGTAGACGTGGGAATTCTTATAGTGTACAGCGTTGAATGACGACTTTGACGTGGTTTTTTGACAGACTTTAACGGCGTTTACTCGGTTTTGATTTTGAGGAAGAGGAAATGAGAAGAAGCTATTAACGGCGTCGTTAATTGGGCAACAAGTTGGAAGAAGACACATCATTGATTACACAGATTACAAGAATAATGGTGGAGTAACGTTGTAAAGTGCTGTGTAGGTTCGAGGAAATTGGCTCATGCAAGACTTTTGTACTTATCATAATCCCATTGGTTCTGATTATTAATGACTGTAATTAATAAATACAGTAGTAAGAGTATTCTATATGGATGGTGGAAGGATTTTTACATAATCATATTGTTTGACTCAAAAGTTATTAAACAATTTTTGAGCAAATCAATCAAAAAAGACATAGCTAATCTTAATTAATACCGGATGAAAGGCAAAACTGAAACATGGAAAACATTGGACAGGAATAATAGTTGGGGAATTTTATTGATTATAGAAGTTACCCTGCCTCTCCTTGAAGAGGTTAAGGGAATTACAATCATATTACCCCCTTCTTAGCTCATCGAAAAATGGAATCTTTATCCTTTCCTGTAGGTCAAGGAATCTATTCATGGAGTTTTGCCATCCCCTCTTTGGGTTATCAGAGTAATGGAGAAGAAGGCTCCCCCTCCTCTTTTCAGCTCTTTTCCCTTGTATTTATAGTCGAGAACTCCCTGAGCTTATCATGATTTATCATGGTCAGGTCGGGGAGGTGTTTCTTCGTCGTGGAGAGGCCTTGGCCTCGTCGCTTGTATTAGAAATAATAATAACGAGTCGGAGTCGAATTTGTTGACTACTTTCGTAAGAGGATTAGGACGGGGTCATTGCCGTCGTGGTCGTGTGGTCAGATTTTGGCCAATACAGTTAGTCCCTCCGTTCGTCGGGGTCATATCTCACCGACCTCGGCGGACGGATCATGTATGCGATGTAGTCGGAGGAAGTTAGATTCGCATTTTATTCCTTAGTTGCGTGACGAATTTAGAAATTGCCCGGGGGCGCCTTTCTAAAACTTGTGTATCGTGGTGGCGGTTTCAAAACTGAAGCGCTGGTTGATAAACGAAACGTCGCTTCGTGCAGGCAGTCATAATGGCACACGTTTCCGAAGAGCTGAATTGTTTCGCTCCCGGTCAGGCTCTAATGGTGATTGTTGGGTTTCGTGCCCAGAGAATTTGTGCCTTATAAATTGAAGGAATCAGTCATTTGCTTATTCGCATTTCATCGTTCATCTCTGAGAGAGTTCCCAAGATATCTCCCTTTCTGTTAATCTGAGCTCTTCTTTACTCCCTTGCTCGCAGTAATCTTCAATTTTCTCGCTTCTTCCGCTAAGCTCTTTCTCCTCTTTTTTCTTGGTGATCTGGAGATGGCAAGTACTTCTAGTGATAATGTTCCCGTCTCTCCTCCGGCAGTTGAGGATCTTGCTCCGGCCGCCGAAAATGTAGAATTAACGGAAAGCGAAGAGGTTCCGTCGGTGGAGGAAATTTTATCCCGCCCGGGGAAAGAGGTGGCGGACTTCAGTGCCGATGGCGGGGAAGAGCCGGTAAATATTTCTCCTCTCATAGGGGAAGTAGGGATAGCGGGTCTAAGGGAGTAATGGGGTATTCCCAGCTATGTCGAGATGGTGCCGGCGGGGAGAGACGACCGAGTCCAATTTGACCGTCCCGGATTCTGTATGTTCTACGTTTACCCTTTCCTGGTGGGGTACATATTCCCGCTTCCTCTCCTGGTGGTCGATTTCTGTCGTTATTACGAGGTATGTCCTACTCAGCTTTCCCCTTACCTATACAAGTTGTTTCTCATGTTCATCAAGTATGCGGAGTTAGCCGGTCGCGAGGTCACTCTAAGGCACGTGCTCAGCTTGTTCGCTCCATAGAAGATTCGCAGCACGATGATCCATGCGCACCCTCGTGGGTCGAAAGGCTTAGTGGTAAAGATGGATGATAGGACCAACCGTCGCTTTTTTGAAAACTTCTTCTATGTGCGGACTGAGCACCTAGTGGCGGATCTAACTGGGTTCCCTACGGTGTGGAATTTTGCCCGTAAGGTTCCGCCCCCGATTAGTGGAGTACTCGGTTTGTCTAGGCCCTTACACCTTTCGTGAAGCGTATACTGATCTACTTCGTTGCTTTGCAGCCGAGAAGCTACCTCCACCACCCTTGGAGGGATCCGAGAATGGGTTGAGGCCATCCTTCCCCATACAGCGGGAGTTCACATGTGGTCGACCTTCCACGAGAGATATGGTCGTAGGCCCCTTACGGGTAAGATAACGCCCTTATTTTCTATCTTCTCTTTTTTGTTTTGACCTTGACTCTCAAATTGTCATTTGTCGTTGTCAGGGAGAGTTCGTAGAACCAGGGGCCCTCAGCTAGCCTTCCACCGACCGGCCGCTTCTGCTCGCCTCAGTGCAGTAGCTGTTGCTCGTCCTCCGTCGAGGGCAGCGTCGGTTGAGTCTGTGGCCTTGACTACTCCGCCTCGGGCTGCATCTCAAGGCGAGGCCCCATTTAGCTCTGCCCGCCCTCGGAATGATTCTCTGTCGATCGGGGAGGAAGAAGGACCGTTGAAGAGATGGAGGGTGGTGTTCGAGTCGGCGCCTATGACAGTAATCAACTTGGATTCTGCCCCGGCGGACCCAGAGGAATGAGGAGTTGCGGCGTCTACCACTGGGGTAGAGCGAGTGGTTGAAGTTAGTTCCAGTAGTCAGAGCCAAGAAAATTCAGTCGTTACTGTGATCCAGTCTGACGTTCCCGCTGTTGGTAACGCAGAACGTCCTACCGTGGCAGAGAATCGAGCCCCCGTTGTGACCTTGAGTACGCCTCCTTCATCTTTGGAAGGTCGCATCCCACCCTCGGCGGCAAAGAGGGGAAAGAGTGTGATGGTCGATGAATATGAGTCTGAGTCGGACTTGGACCCTGATGATGTTCGGATGTTCGAGGAGGGCATTACTCACTCGGTAGTTCATGCGGGGGGAGGGGGGTCAGCCCGTATCATTGAAGTTCCTTCCGGTGTGAATCTGTTGGCGCAAGGGGATAACCTGGTGCCGCAGTTCAGTGCGTTGTGCTCGGAGGATGAGAATGAGTCCCTGGGAAATGTCCGGGACGCCGAAGTGAGGGATGAAGTGGTTGTGATGGGCTTGCGGGTATGTTGTCTCTGACTATGTTTTACTTTTCCTTCGTCGCAGGACGAGCATTGGTCTAACTGCTTTCTCTCTTCCTTTTTTTAGACATACTTGTTGGAGGTGGAGAGCATCCGCCGGGCCAATATCTGGTCGAGGATCTTTCTGCGGATACTGGAAAAGTATCGTCACTATCGCAACAGGTGCCGTGAGTTGCATGAAAGGTTGAGGACGGACCCCCGCAACTAGGCTCTAGGCGAGGAATTAGAGAGGAAGGATCGTGAGCTGATGCAGACGATCCGCAACAAGAGCGAGCTTGAAGAGCAACTTCGCCTCAAGGACGAGGAGCTTGAGCTGGGAAAGGGGGTTGACGCCGAATGCGAGCACTTGCAGGGCAAGTTGAGGGAGATGCAGTTGGAATAGACCGACGTCGGGCCCAATTTGAGGAGGCGAGCACCGAATGGAGAGGGAAGCTTTCTGTAATGGAGGGCAGGGTTGCCGATTTGGAGCGCATTGAGAGAGTTTGGTCTGAGGCCATATCGAAGGCAACGACTCTAGAAGAGACTATTCGCGTACTCCAATCACAGCAAGAAACGTAGAGGGAGACTGCGGCCCTTATGGAGGAAAGGCTCGAGGAGCGGATCAGTGCACTTGGTGCCGAGGCGGGAATTCTGACAGAGCAAGTTACGGCCTTGGAAGCAGAGAACCAGCAGCTGAGGGCCCAAGCCGAACCGTTCTGTGCTGCCGTCCCCCGCCAGACTTATGAGCTTTGGATCTATGCCGAAGCCCAGCGGGACTTATTCAAGAGTTTATGGGAAGTAGGTACCGTAATAGAGGCCGCCTACGAGAAGGTGCGAGTGAAGGCTCGCGAAGCTCATGTTTACTGTGGATATGACGTGGCAACGCTCGAAGCTGGTAAAGATGCAGGCGATGATAATGAGGAGCCTTATGGGGATGATGGTGACAACGGCGGTGATGGCGCCGAGTAAAGAAAAAATTGTTCTTAGTTTTTCTTTTCGTTTCGTTCGTCGGTTGGCGTTCAGTTGCTTTTTGTTGTTTTCCTTTCTTCTTTTTGATCGGCATGGGCCGGATATAAGCGCGATAACCTGCATTCCTGACTTCATGAATAATAAATTATTTTTCGCTACTTGTCTTGCGTTTTGGTTTTCTTTTGGTTAGACTTATGATCTTATCGCAAAGTGAGGGCTCGTCAGACGAGTCCCGGTTTTATTTCTTATGTCAAAGTCTCCCAGCCTTGAGGGTGTTT